AGAAACCTAAATATTAGAATCCATAGGTGAACTGGTCCTATTGAAAAAGATTAAGTTTCACTTTGCAAATATGCCTATTTGCATCTCAGCATGCATATGCAGCTTGACAGATATTTATGGATATGGTTAAAACACATATAAAAGTAACAAAGGTTTAAGTATGATTAATTATAATTAAAGTGTTTTAAAGTTCAGTGTTGTTATGGATACTGCAAGTTGTAAAGGAGAATAGATTTCCTCTAACTAAACGCAAGATGAAGGACTTAATCTTTTTAAAACTCACACTGGAAGTCCCTAAGAAGATATTTCATTGGGTTTTTTCCTTCAGTACAGAAATCCTCATGAGGTTGAATAGATTTGCCACATTACTTTACAATCCTGAGATTGTCAAGTGAATGGGTACATTTTACAGTAGATTTTTTTCCTGTAGAAATATTTTATATTGATTAAGGTAACCCTCATTTTTAACTTAGGCATATTGTTTTCAGTCTTTTTTTGAAATTGCATGATAGCAGAACTGCAATGGGCATAGAAAATAGCACAATATTTATTAGCTGTCTTGTCAATTCCATACCAATAATACAAATAAAGGTTGTAGCTAAACACTCGTTCTCACAACTGCAGCTAAAAAGAATATATGATGTAAAACAAAGCTGTCCTTTTCTATGTTAATAGGTGTATTTCCTGAGTTTCTGTAGATGAAAAACTGTGACAGGAGACATTTTTTTTTCCAGATCTGCTTGTACTGATTTAAAATGTTTACAAGGAAAAAGGGCAATGCAGAAAAAAGCAGTATGACTTCCACCAAAGTGTGACACATTATCACCTTCGATTTCTTTTTCCTTCTTTGAAAAACATCTTTCTTGATAAAGGCATTTTTTAAATATAATAAAAAGAAATTAAAAATAGGATAAGAAATTAACAAAAATAATAATAATAAAAAGATTCTCTAACCTTAAAAAATACTAGTAAAATTTAGCAGGCATCTAAGCACATAGCAATGGGTCATGTTGAGTGCAAAACAGTTTCCCAGAGTATTCAACTTCATCTGACTTTATGAGTATCTAGAACAAGTTGCTCTAAGTTGCTCTGTAACTATGGACTCAGGTGGGCTGGGCTCATTTTCCCATCATCTGGCTGGATTAAACAAGTACTAGTCCAGCTAACATGCATTATGCAATATAGATGCTTAAAAATAGCATTTTATATGGTACATCATAACTGTTATCACACAATTTTGTGGAAATTAATTCAACCAGATATTGCTAAAAACATGATTTAAAATATTTCAGAGCTCATCAATTTCTGGGTTAAAAAAGCAACAACTGTATTTATCATGCATAAAAAATGCAGACATAGCTGCTTATTCTTTATGCTTCTAATTGCAAAATAATTTCTGAATAAGAAAGTTCTTCCCATACAACTGTTGTTAGGTAAATTATTGAAATGTGAAATAAAACAATAATGTCTGCTTCAGATAGTTTTCTTTCAGAGAAAAAAAAACAATAATTGTATCAACTGGGCTTAATTTTAATACATATAAATATTCCAAACATGAATTTATGGCATCAAATGCACATACAGACATCAACACAAATGGAGAAAGGTATTGAAAAAAAATAATTAAAAAAAATGTGTATTTATTTGGCTATATATTAATATGATAATCTATTGGTCAGTTAAATCATGTTATAAAAGTTATTGGTTAATACTAAAAATATTTTTTAATGTAACAATCTAATTACATGCACTTTTAAGAAAGATGTTAAATATCCTCTAGAATCCCTGAGACATGTTTTTCTAAAACTACAAAATTCTCTCTTTAAGAAAGCATAAGGTTACAGGAAATACGCCAGCCACTGCTATGTTGGTTTTTTAATCTAATTATAATGGCTAACAAGGTAGATAGTGTGGAAGTAACAGACACATTTTACTTTTTAAACTTACTTATATAACTTTGTGCATTTCCTTTGGTATTTCTGGCTTGAACTTCAATTCCTAAGTTGTATGTAGGCATTTTTAACAGCCAGCCTATAACATGGATATCTTTTGAGTTGCCTTACTTACATCTTAAATAATACAGTCTGAGAACTTGATGTCTGTTCCTACTCCCGGAATCCACACTCTAAAAGAGTATTTTAGCACCTATCCTGTAGAAAGACAGGGGCATTTTTGGAACTGGCCCCTAGTGTCAGACTTACAAAGCCATTAGGGGATTAACTCCTATTGGACATCTAGGCTTTAAAGGAAATAAATCTTTCTCTTGCCCTGGGGAGTACTCTCTGAGGCAGAGATTCAGCTACCCTAAATAAATACCACTGATTTGAACTTTTGCATAGCTCAATAACATAAATGGCTTAGAGAAGCATGATGTAGGTAAGATTTAAAAATAAATTTAAAAACAAACAAACAAAAAAACACCACAACAATTAAAAAAAAAAAAAAAAAAAAATGCTGACACAAAATGGATGAAGAGCAAACGTAACTCAAACTATCAGAAACAATTCTTAAAGCCATTCTAACAGACCAAAAAAAAAAAAAAAACCCCCAAAAAATAAAAAAAAAAAAAAAAAAAAAACCACAAAACCAAACCTGTTTCCCAGATATCTTCATTATTACAAAAAAATCACCATTCACCATTAGCCTTTATCCCAGGATGAGACCTGGGTAGGAGATAGGTGGTTATGTTGCACAGCACAGTTAGAACAAGTTATTTTTGAGTGTTCTTGAAAAAATTTAGGTGCCTAATAGAAGCGGTTCCTGGGAATTTAGGGCAGGTGGAGGTCAGAAAGAGGCTTAAGAACTGGGCTACCCTGCCTAACGTGGGGGTTTGGAGAAATCCAGCTCCTTGTGTTCCTGGATGGGTCCAGTCCTTAACGCAGCCTGTTTCCTCACATAAACAATATTTTACCCCAAGATGCACAGTCAGTGGAGAGTAGAAGACAAGCAGAATAAGAAGTATAAAGAATATATTACAGAGTTAGAGAAGCTCTTTAAGGTAAAGGAACGTATTTGAGATTTACAAAGAAAGTAACAGGATACACTGCTGTTCTAACTTTCACCTTCTTTCATCAACTGTGAGTTTAGTAACCCCCCTGCTGATCCAAACCCTGACTGTCTCTCCTAAATATAGAAGTCCAGGCAAATACTGATTACAAATATTTTTTTCTCTGATTTCTTTTTTAAGAGAGATGTGAGTTTACTCCCAGTAAAGACTTAGTAGTACTATTAATAATGGAATTTTCCTTTGAATGTGGAACTTAAATATGTATCTTTTTCACCAAGCATAAAAGATTAATTTTATTGTTATGGAAACACAAACTGTTTTTACCAGTGATCCAAGACTCAGGTGGGTTTTTTTAATTAAAACATGCTTTATTATGTATATTTCCTTTCAGCAAAGTTTCTAATGCCTTAAAACAACAAAAAGGCAGAATTATCTCAGAGTTTAGAGCAGATTTCTACCCATAATTGTGTCATGTCTCTTGATTATTGGTTTTTTCCTCCCTCTTAACTATTTGGGCAGGTGGTACAGCATGAAATAGCGTGGTAATTGTTTGACAGAAAACTTCAAAATTACAATTGAAGAAGTTCACTCAAAAGGAGCTAAAACTTTCCAAAATAAAAGGGCAAATCTATGGAATATATTGAAAATAAACAGCAATAAGTACTATTTGTACTTTTTTACACTGGGAAGTTTCTTCACATAATCCAAACTGTGTCACAGCAAACAGGCACTTACTGGGTCTCATCCTGCCTGACTCATAAAATATTAAAATACTTTTAATATTACAGTTCAAATTACACTTTTGGAAGTTTCTCTTCTGTATAGCTTTTTAAGCCATTGAGAATATTTATAAGCTTTGGGTTGTTCTTTTTTTCTTTTTTATTTGTATCAGTTCAGCTGATTGATTTGTATCATGTTCAGCTGCTGTTCACTGATATTACCATGGTACAAAAATGAAGCTGTTATTTTGGGTTTGTTTTTTGAAAAAAATATATATATATTGCTCTTATTATGCTGTGTGTGATGTGATTTTCCCTGTGAACTATCCTGGTAGAAGTAATATGCCTACGGAATTTAAATTAAAACTGATTAAATACCTGGAAAGATGTGCCCTGCAGATTTATTTTTCTTCTTCAAATCTCAAAAATAAGCAACTATTTTGAAAAGACAAGTTAAAAACACCAAAGGAGGTAAGAAATAAGGGTATTACCAGAAACAATCAAAACAATCTGGTATTCTGGGTATTTAACCTCAAACTCTCCCCCTTTTTTACCCTCAGTAAAGTAGAGATGTATTTATGTCTCTATAACCAGTGAAATAATACCAACTTCTCTGTTTATGGATATTTCTGTATCAGGGTTCCAGCTGAGAACATAAGTGTAATAAAATTAATTACATTATCATTTTGGCATTTTAGTATAAATGGGATAATCAAAGAAATGACCTGATGCTACAGGCTTTTATTTGTAATGTCGTGCACAACTTAGAATTATCTGCTATGACATAACTCAGGAAACAAACCAACTTATTAACATACAGTTCTGTGTAGCCTCATCAATTTCACATGCATATATATATGTGTGTATATATATATATATATAAAAATCTTCAGTAAGGGAAAGAAAAGAAAATATCCCTTGCAATGTGTATGTGTCCTTGTTCAGGAGTACATAAAACCAAAATGGGATGTTTTCTAATGGTATATGAGTTTGTAAACAATTTAAGTCTTCAGTGCTAGGTTGAAGGACAGTTTGGTTTAGTTTTTTAGATTTTAGCTGAAGTGTAGGCTAACCATACAATGATAGTATTGCTCAAATAATTCAGAGAAGCCTTGTGTCCACATTATTCTCAGAAGAACTTAGACTCCTGTCTTTCCTGCACAAGTGAAGAAAGTTTTCCATTGGAGAAGGCTACTCAAAATATGCTTCTGTCAGGCTGTTGATGCTCCTTCTTAGCCAGCCAAGAGGAACCAGTAACTGGTCTGCAGGCAGAGTCATGATCCCTCCTCCACAGAACCTTTAAAAAAAATAAAAATAATAATAATAGTAAAACAAACAACAACAACACACTCAAAACCCCCCTGAATGTATTCAGCAACAATTTTGCTAAAGCTTCAAGATAAAAGGGATATAAAGCATAGGTGGGCCAGGCACACAGTTTGTAGTATGCAAACGTATTATTACCAGCCATCATGGTAACACCATCTACTGGGATTTCATCCTTAGTAATACAGCAGATCTGTAAAAGGCCAAAAGATGTGTAGATCCTAATTCTCAGGTCTGCCTTCTAGTTCTGTTTGTTTAAGGAGTATTTTTTTTGGTCTGTTCAATTTCTGTGTGGTTTCTTCTGTAGGTTTTGGCAGAATGTATACATATGCACACATAAGACTACCTATGTATGTGTATTGTTTTGTAAATGTTCTCAATCATGCTTTTTTCTGCTTTTCACCATTTATTCATGTATATTTCCATGTTCTCATTTATTTTTTGTGCAGCTAAACATTATAATAAATTATTATTAAATAGAACCTAACAGTGACAGAACCTTTATGTATTGTTTTCTGTTGAGCATGGGGGAAGAAAGGGGGTGGGGGGATACTGCTTCTTGTGATAAGCAGTATAATGCAGAAGATTAGTAGGAAAACTAACAGTAAGACTACAGAAGATATTCCTACAGCTATGTAGATAATAAACCATTTGTGACCCCAAGATGCTAAACTACAATTGTAATAAATGTGATCAGTATTTTGTAGAAAGGAGCATTAATTTCTTATGACAAATTAAATTGAAAATCAACAGTTATTTGGACATTATTCCATGACTGCTCATGCTCAATATTCAGACCTTATAACCATTTCCTCCTTTCTAAAATGCCTCTGTTATGCTGAACTAACTCTTACAAAAGTTGTCACTGGAATGATTAAAGGTGAGTAAACACAGCACAGTGTTATGAAAAGCAGTAATGACCTGTATAATCCTTTTGCATCTCCTTTCCTCCCCTGGTGAGAAAGCAGTCCAACAGCATACTTAAGTGACCCGATACATGGGTAATAAAAGCAGTCAGACTACTTATGTCAATGTTCCTCTCATTGCAAAGGCTGTCCCATAAGAGATAACTAACAATCATGCAATGCTTCCATGGATAAGACATTTTTCAGAGTACCAGGAAGAGTATCTCAATCCAAAAGAGTTTTTCTACTCAGTACTGCACAATGATACCAGGATTTTTCTGCCTTAATTCAAAAGGAAACCTGTACACTTTTTGTTAAAAAATATTTCCACAAATACTTCCACAGGCTGGAGAGGTGGCCAGAGAAGAACCTCATGAGGTTCAACACAGGCAAGTGTAGGGTCCTGCACCTGGGGAGGAAGAACCCCATGCACCAATATAGGTTAAGGGTGGAAAGCAATCCTGAGGAGAAGGACCTGAGAGTCCTAGTAGATAATAAATCATTCATGAGTCAGTAATGTGCCATTGCTCCCAAGAAGACCAATGAAATCCTGCATTGTATAAGAAAGAATGTGGCCAGTAGGTTGAGAGAGGCCATTCTCCTTCTCTACTCTGCAGTTCTGGGCCCCCAGTGGAGGGCAACAAAGATGTTTGGGGGACTAGAGCATCTCTCTTATGAGGAAAGGCTGAGAGAGGTGGGACTCTTTAGCGTGGAGAAGAGACGGCTGAGGGGAGACCTTATTAATGCCTAGAAGTATCTAAAGGGTGGATGCAAGGAGCATGGAACCAGACTCTTTTCAGGAGATCCTGGTGACACAGTAAGGGGCAATGGCACAAGCTGGAACATAGAAAGTTCCATTTAAATATGAAGAAAAACTTCTTTACTGTGAGGGTGACAGTGCACTGGAACAGGCTGCCCAGGGGGGTTGTGGAGTCCCTTTCTCTGGAGATATTCAAGACCCATCTGTCCTGTGTGATGTGCTCTGGGCAATCCTGCTTTAGCAGGTGAGTTGGACTAGATGATCTCTAGAGGTCCCTTCTAACTCTGACAACTCTGTGATTACATGATTCCATGAAATATTTCACCCATTCTGATTATTGTTGTTTTTTTTAAATAACCCAATACTGGACATACTTTGATGGATGTCAGGAAACCCACCCTATTTGTTCTAGCCTAAAGATTATTTTTTTGAGAATTACAATTAAGACAGGAAAGATCAGGTTTATAAAATCTTTTCTTAAAAAGCATAGGCATCTTAAATACATAGCCACATCTTCAAATTAAGCTAAGGAGCAACACATAATAACTAAGGCATAGAAATATGCAAGACAGTGACTTAAAAATATCAGTTAACACATTCTTATGGTGTTCAGGCTTGTGGTAATATAACTATAATTTTTGAGATTAAAAAAGCTGGAGGAAAGAGAAGTGATATACTCCAAGTCACACAGGAAGTCCACAACACAAGTCCTCAGTATAGGTGTCATGTATTTAAAACACATGAATTTTTCTTATGTCACAGTCTGAACTCAGCTAGTGAAAGCATGGAAAAAAAAATAAAAATAGAAAGTGTGTTAAACCACAGAACTTCAGGTCAATTTCTCACAGCCCATCACAGTGCCTTGTTTCCTGCTTCTCTGTCACAGCCCTGCACTACCACTCTGCAGACTTGAGACCAGTAGCACAAAAGAGAAGCAAAAAAATAGTATATAATAAACTTTTCTGGAAAAAAGTGTATCTCTTGGCTAGCAGTATGATAAATTATGGGACACATCTTTGCCAGACAATCCTACCAACTTCTATCAGTCTCAAATAGCCATGTGTCAGCAATGTCTTCATGAGGCAAGCCTTGTGTGTCCATGCTCAGTTACTTAGCGAAGAAGAAATATTTGATGCCTGTTCTTCAGTTTCTCAACATGCAGGAGTAAAACAAAACAAGAAGTACAAAAAAGTGAGCATGCCTTGGGATGGAAACGGAGTAATGCCTCTTGTAGTACTTCCTAGAAGAAATATGGCCACAAACTTATTTCTTTTTTTTTTTTTCAGATAAAGACTAGCAATTCATTGGTGAAAAGGGACTAAAAAAGCTGTCTTTAAGTTAGTCCCTCTTTAGTGTTCTGCTCAACACGCAGTGAAAGTATCTGAAGGTGAAACCAGGGCTGCCCCAAGCAGCTTTCATTCTGACTAGACAAGAAACTTACATGCTCAGTTCATAGGCACAGGAAAACAATCAGGATCCCTAACAACAGTAATCCCAGCTAACCAACTGCAGAGCCATCACCAGATGGCTTTTCTCTCCTGGATCTAAAGGTTCACAGCTTCTTATCTGGCTCTCCTGAATACCTGAATATGAGACTTGCTGAGGTACACCTCTTTAGTATTAATGTGCTCATTGGAAAAGATTACAAAAAAATAATGATTAAAGAAGAGTGTTATCCTTGAATTCCAACATTATTTTGCTGGAAAGAAAAAAGAAAGACAATTCTCTCAGAAGTTTATGCTGCTGGAGGTGACACAATAAAGAAGGCTGCCTGATTACAAAGCTAGTGTCTTCTGTATTTTATCTGCATATGAACTCACTCTACTTTCAGCATGTTTTGAACAGCTGTGTACTAAAAATGACAGGATGGTGCATATAGTGTTGTCTAATTTCAGGAAAAATTAGAATATTTTTTCCAAGTGTTTAGCTCCCCACCACAGAAAACCATTATCTGTGCCAGTGAGTACTTAAAGAAAGAAAAAACATCCTCTAGGCAACAAAGAAAAAAAATTTAAAAGACTGTATTTAATTATCATCAAGGATGAGAAAATGTGGATAAACTTCCAGGCTTTAGCAGCATTCCCATCCTTCCGTCTAAGCACTCCAAATCTCATTCTGCTTCTCCTGAAGTTCCACCTTCAGTTTTATCAGGTCAAGATAATAATCTCTTAGTTAATGAGTTTGAGAGTTGAGATTATCAGCTGTCACTTAAATCTGAGTAAGAAAAATAATTAGATTTTTTTTAGAAACAACAATTCAAAGCCCTTTTGCCTTTTCTCATTTGAAATGAGCAAAGCCTTCCTGAGGCATTTGTTTTCTTTAACTATACAAGAACAAGAACTATACAAGAACTATACTTGAACAACTTGAACATAACATTCAAGATTTTGCAGAAACGTCAGAGGCTTGTCACGTCTCCTTAGCTCTTGGGTTCTCATTAAAGGTGATACGCTGATAGGAGCCTACAAAATATATTTTCAGCACCAATACAATTTCTATTAACTATTAGATAACGTGTCCTTCTCTCGTTCATTTTCATAGCCGTGGCATTTTCTCTGCAGGATTGTGAAATTTTGTGGAAGTAAAGGTTTTTGACCTTCAGTGTGTTAACTTTAGTTTTGAGGAGAAAGCTTTGATGGACTGTTTATTTGATCTAGCAAGAGAATTAATCTGTACTGTAAAGATCTCCATGCCTTGCTGGACTGACACATATGGTTTGCTAACTAGGCATCACTGAAATAGTTTTGCCCATGAGTGAGAGTCAGAAATGCAGCACAAATGCATTCATGCTCAGCAAAAGGTGCTTTGTTGTGTAAAAACACATAGATGTGGTCTCATCTCTTGTGTTTATACTGGATGAATTCCAAAAGGAAAAGGAAGCTAATTTCACTCCTACCCTGATTCTCCTCACTTCCTTATTTTCTGATCATTTCCTATGGCGCAGAGGTAGTGCTGTCTTCTCCCAGCTCAGAAGGATTACATGACCAGTCAATGACCAGTCCTCTGTTTTTCATCTAGGTGCTATGAAGATTATACTGAGTGCCATTGAAAGATATTTACTGAACAACTTGAAGGCACAGTCAACGTGTTCACAAGGGGAAAGTACCCTCTAATTTGATATGTTTCTATGATAAATTCACCCGTACAGTGCATGAAAGGAGCAAATACTGGATTCTCCACATGGGACAGAGTAACAATAGGTGCAAGTATAAACTGGGAGAGGAGTGGCAGGAGAGCAGCCTTGCAGAAAGTAGTCTGGGGCTGCTGGTTGGCAGCAGGCTCAACATGAGCCAGCCATGTGCCCTGGCAGCCACGAGGGCAAACTGCATCCTGGGGTGCATCAAGCGCAGCTTGAGCAGCCAGTCAAAAGATGTGACTATCCCACTATACTCAGCATTGGTGCAATCCCACCTTGAATGTATCCCACAATTTCAAGACGTCAAGGTCCTTGAAGAAATCCAGAGAAAGACAGCGAAGCTGGGGAAAGGGCTAGTATGAACTATAATATAATTCTAACCCTCAAAATGTATTTAAATGCCACCATCAATGTGTATTTCAGATCCAGTGGGAACTCACAGAAGCACAATTTTTTTCTACTTTCCTTTGTCTAAGAGACCTTGCTATCGCAATTTCTGCTAAAGCAAGAAAAAAGCTTACTAAATCTTTCTAAAAATGGCTAGATCTTCAGGATTGAATAAGCATTTCTTTTCCAACTCTTCTAATTTTTCTGTTCTTTCATATGACATCTTCCTTTCTTTCCCAATCATCTTCCAAAACAATGCATGGATTTTAAATCTACTTCCTTTCCTCAAAAACACTGTAGAAATTAAATCTAACTAAAGGGAAAAAAGCATGGTAAGGAAAAAACAGAAATGGGTTCAGGTGTGTGTTATCTTGTGACATGACCAATCTCCATATTAACAGACCTTTTAGAAGAAGAAATATGATGAGGAACACATGAGAAATTAATCCAAAGTCCCTTGAACACAAACATAATTTTGTAAAATTAAGCCTTCTGTTTCTGTAAGTGCTGTGCAGCAAAAGCTAAACTACTTTACATACACTTGTTGGTTTATGTGTTCTAGGTTTTGAGGTAAGACAGGATTTACAGAATCACAGAATCTTAGGGCTTGGAAGGGACCTTGAAAGACCATCCAGTGCAACCCCCCTGCCAGATCAGGGTCCTCTAGAGTACATCACAGGTGGAAGTCTCATTTCAGCTGGAAATTTCTGTCACTAAAAAAGAGAAGTCACAGTATTTAGTGGGATAGACTGGGCAAACTTAATGATACTGAATGGATCTCATGGTTTCATTTTCACTGACATTTGAATATGCTAAATGCAGCATGGTGACTTCTACTGATACAGCTGGAAGAACAGAAAAGGCTTTCCCAACACTTGAATACCAATACCCCTATATCTCCTTTTTTTCTTCATAGGAATGCCATGCTCTTTCTCTGTGCAAAAATACATTCACTTTTAGACAAGAAGAAAGATGCTTCTTTCTCCTGTACCGTATCTCCAAAAGAGTGGTTTTGGAACTGTTATTAGTTCTTTAAATAATCCTATGATCTTATTTCTACCTCATTTCACCCAAGCTTTCTTTTCTTCAAGAATTTTTGGTGTCTTCTCAATGAAAGCTTCTCAAAAAAAAGAAAAAAAAAAAGTTTTCCTTCATCATACTTTTTCTCAACCTAAGCCATATTTTCCCTGTTAGTGTTTACAGTGCAGTTATTCTCCAGCACCTAGACTCAGTATTTCAAAACACCTCTGGAGCTGAGCTGGAAGAATTTGGTGATAGAAAATCCAAGTTACAGTGTGGCTTAGCTGCAACAGTAAGCCAAAACAAAAATTAAAAAATTAAGTGACTGAACTGATAGAACACACAAAACATAGCGGAGCAAGTTCATGTCACTACTTGGTTTATTCCAGCCACAACGTTGCATCAAGACAGGGTAAGTAACTTGTGAGATTGTGAGAGACTTTACTCATTATGCCACAATCTGTGCTGGTGACCTGGCCTGTTTCCCCTTTCCACTTAATGTTTCTCTATATCTCACTGGATGTACTAATTGCATGTTATGAAATGGTTCCAAATGTTAAAGAGAAATAATTGGAAATTCTTGACACCACACTTCCTTTGGGATTAATGAAAATTCAACACAGTATGTTTCACAATACAAAGAGAAGGCTTAAAAGGGAGAAAACAGGGTGTTCTCTGAATCATACTGTACTCCAGCCTTTTGAATGGTTTCACCTTTTTTTTTTTTTTTGTCCCTCAATAAGAAGCATAACTATGCTGGCATTGTTAGAACAAAAAATTGCAAATAAGATTTGTTTCAAGAGTGAAAGAAGCATGGGGAAAAAACCCATTTATTTTGAGAAGAAATGGTTTCTGTGGGTAGGATTGATAATTCTTAATGTATTTTTCTCAACTTATTATATGCTTTCATTTTTTTATGAGAAACACTGCACTTGGAGTAAGCAGAAAATATTTCTATTGCTCTACAATTTGGATATGCTTGCTTATATGAACATAGTCAATAATTTGAAATTTGAATGCTTTAAATTGTCAGAGGCAAGAGGAATTTTTTCATGATACCCCTTTTCTTTTTATCACATTCTGATCAATTTCATGGTCTTTTGTTGTCAGGTATTCATAGTAAAGCAGGCCATCAGTTTCCTTTCCAAGCAGAATTCCCTTTCTCAAAAAACATACGATAGATCAACCATACACTATGCCACAGAAATTAGTACTGCCAAGAGAGATGTCTACTAGCACTCAATACCAGAACCAAACGCAGTACCCTCAAAAGATACCAGAAAGCTGGGCTGAATGCTGCAATGGGATTGTCCTGGTTTGAGCCAGGATGAAGCCAATTTTTCTCTTTACTGATTTTTTTTTCTTCAGCAAGCTTTCTTCTAACTAGCAACAGTGTATTCTGCTAGGCTGATAAGACAGTGGAATGTTTTTCTAACTACTGAGGCTTCAAGGCTGCACCTGCACTCTGCCGGCTCAGACACTATGGGGAGATCTGTGACCCCCCCGTAGGAGGCTGAGTTAGACAGACAGCAAAATTGGCCAGAGATATTCCATTCCATATATCTACGTAAGCTAAAAGGAAGGTCAGAGATCACAGAAGACAACTTCCTTCCTTCCTTTCTTCTTCTTCCCTTCTCTTCCGTCCATGGCCGGCGTCCAGGGAGGACTCTGTTCATCCATCACCGTCGACCCTTAGGCTCGAGATCTCCTGACCCCCATAACTCTCTGCTTTCTCCAGCAGCAGCTCCGGGATTCCTCGGGACTCTTCCCAGTTCAGGGAAGTGCTGTGGGAGTTGCTGGGGTGGGGGGAGGCGAGAGGTTTTTCCCCATACCTGAATATATCTGTATATAATTGTATATATTTTCTTGTATCATTTATTAGTGTTTTAATTAAAGCTGTGTAGTTTATTTTTCAATCCAGCCAAGTCTCTCTCTTTTTCTCTCTCTCCTTCCCTACGTGGGTGGGGGGGAGAGGGAATCGAGAGCATTGTTATCGGACCTGAGTCAAACGGTGACAAGGATAAGAAGGAATAGAGTTGTGCAAGAGTCGTATCTTCAAAAAACATTCTGTAGATAAGAACCAAAATTAAGTATTTTGGGGTTTTTAAGACATAGCAAGAAATATAAATTAAGGGAGGATTTAGATCACATTTTGAGAAATCTTATTTTAAGAGTTTACATATGGAAACCTGAGATCCCATCATAAACAAACTATAAACATAGTCACAACAAAACCTAGAGAGCTTCTCAACTCCCACTAAAGAAACTCCTTACCTTAATAAGCTAGGGGCCATTTTACAAATGTTTACATTTCCAAGTGAGAGTGTGCTCTTTGCCTTTGTTGGAGGATGGGTCTCTCCCCAGGGACCTTGCAGTGCACTATGCAGTTGCTTTAGGAGAAGGTTCACCTCTTCCAGCAAATTCAGTGTCTCCTCTTCCCAAGTGTCTCACTCCCAACACCAAACTAGTTTCTCACAAACAGGTCTAAAGTGCAATAGAGACATCAGACAAGCTTAAAATCAGCTTCCTTCTGTGTAAGCAAGATTAAGTGTCAATTTTGCTATCATTTACTGGAATGCAGTACTTAAACAAATCTGCATTCTCTATCAATGAGTTATTATATGAGTGAAAGTGCTAATACCTCAGAAGGTCCTCAGATGGTAAAAGTATTTACCACTTCTTCCTTTACTTACCAGTCACAGTAAAAGTCATCACACAGGTTTTGTTTCTTCCAGTAGCTATGCAGCTGTAGGTTGCAAAGTCAGAGGCTATAATGTTTTGACTGATGATCATGGGGCTTGCCTGATGAGAGCAATCCACCAGTGCATGTTCTTTGAAATCTGAACCAAAGCTTTGCTTTCCTGACGAGTTTCACAGAACAAGAGTATCCACCCAGTCTGCTTTAATCCTCTCCCACATCTCTTGGTGCACTGAATCTCAAAATTTATAGGGGCAAGTAAAAGCAACATTTCCTTCTGGTTTGGTAAACACGAGATTATTTTGTTTCTCAGATACTTCAGAAGCATGTGTTCAAAAACACACAAAAAAACCCCAACAACAAAAACTTATAATTGGTTTGAAGAAGTTTAGTATCAAAAATATGACAAATATGAATGAAATATTCTTACAACAGAAAGACAGTCAAATAATTTGAAAAACTGAATAATATAATTTACACCTTTCTATTATTATATTTTTGTGCACATTTATACAAAATAGTCTTAATGGAACAGTGATGTTTCAATGGCATTGCAAAGAAGGCTATTTTTATTAATTTTGAGTACACGAATATTTTAGTAACAGTTTTGGCAAATATTCAACAGCATAAATTATGGAGCCAGTCTAATTAAATTTGTGACAGCCTTGTTCTGCTTTCACACTAATTATAAAAAGAAAATGGCTTTATGCAACCCTCAGGATGTGCATTAGTAAATTACATTACAAGATATTCCAGCCTATGTATTACAATTGTCCCATTTCTGAACCTCACCACTTAAATAAAAAATTTAACTATTATTCTACGTGAGAAAAACCTGTGTGATAATCAAGCTGTGCTGTGAAGTGAGACTTCAAGACAGATTCAAGCCTTCCACCAAATAATAACCATAAGTATCTTATATCTTAACTAAGCTTGACAGAAATTGCCCTACTCTGAGATATTGTTTTTAGTAATAGAATTCACTGTTTAGAAATCGAGAAAATAAATAATTAAGTCTTCAATAGAAAGATTCTCAATGTTTCTGACATTCAAAGCATTCAATAGACATTTGGTTTCTGAAGTCAGCCTTGTAATGCATATATTCATGAGTTAGGACTAGCACTGTCATCTTTCTGAAGACTTTAGTCTTGAAAAAGATTAATGATCAGACTACTTCTCCTACACTCTAAAAGGACTGATCTTTCCTGCTGTTCAGCGAGTTTCTTTTTTAATTGCATTTCTTTCATAGAATTTAGGTTTAAAATGTCATTAGAATATATGTTTAATGTGTTTACATGTATGTGTGTAACAGTTGGAAGCAAAGACAGAAAACAAAAATTGCATAAGAAAAATTACAGTCAAAACCTATTATTTTTTAAAAATAACAAACTTTTAATATTAAGCTGTAGCCACATTCATGGGATGGTTGGTTGCAGTAACACTCTGAGTAGAACAGAATACACTGAAGGACTGAGCCAGATTTAGATCCTCCTCGATACCACATTTTAATCACAAATCTAGGGAGGAAAATGCCAGTGAAATGTATTTCTTTGTTAGTGCCGAGGTTGTCAAAATTATAAGTACTGGAGAAATTAATATGGGGTGGCCTACCTCAGCTTCTAAGCTAAGTGCAAAGTGTAATAGGAATTCATGTGGGCAAGTATCTACCCCACATCTAGGAATAAGTGTTGGCATTAATGTTGGCAGCATGGAAATTTAATTGTGGAACTCTGAAAATTCAGAGACTTGTGCAGTCTGTGAAATGGTGAATGAAGATGTTTAGCCTGCAAATTTTTATCAGTGGAGCACAGCACTTTACATTCCTTCTGCCTTTGGAGACCAGAAGTATGATTAAAACATTGAAACTGAAAGACAAAAGGAATGGCGTTTAACGAGTTTAGCCAAAAAAAATATTAAAAAATTAAAAATTAATTAAAATCTTGAAGATCCATGTAGGCTGCAGTCATGGAGACAGAAAGTTAATGATAGACAAGGACAGAAGACAGAAAAATTCACAGAACTAAACAGAAGGTACAACATGATGAAGCTAATTAACTCATTAGACAGCTTGCCAAAGACATCTAAATTTTTATTACTGATGATGACTGCCATGGTTGGATAATCATTAAGATATAATGGTAGTTGAAGTAAGAATTTATTCATGGAATTCTAGGTATTATTAAAATCAGACTACTATGATGGGACTCGATACTTGCAAAATATGCTCCTTGAAGTGCAGTTCCTCAAAAGTCACTACGCTAGAATAGGTAATATCTTTTTTTTCACATCTTGCAGATTCATATCTGCAGATTCAGATTCAGATCTGCTAAGGAAGAGAGGAAAATATCTTTGGGGCCAGATGGGATCCACCCAGTTGTATTAAGGGAGCTGGCAGAAGTGCTCATCAAGCCAATATCCATCATCTATAAGTAGTCTTGGCAAACTGAGGTCTTTGTTGACTGGAGACTGGCAAAAGTGATGCCTATTTACAAGAGGGGCGGGAAGGAGGACCTAGGGAACTACAGACCTGTCAGTCTGACCCCAGTGACAGGGAAGGTTATGGAACCTTAAGTGCCATCACACAGTACATACAGGATAATCAGGCTATCAATCTCAGTCAGCTTGGGTTCATGAAAGGCAGGCCCTGCTTGACTAACCCTACTTCTATGACAAGGTGACTCATTCAGGGGATGAGGGACAAGCTATGGATGTTGTTGTTTATCTAGACTTTAATAAAGCCTTTGACACAGCTTCCCACAACATTCTGTTAGATAAACTAGCTGCTCATGGCTTGGACAAGTGCACTTCTCAGAAGGTAGAAAACCTGGGTGGCTGGGCCCAAAGATTTGTGGTGAATGGAGTCCAATCCAGCTGGCTGCCCATCACAAGTGGTGTTGCCCAGGGCTCAGTATTTAGACTAGTTCTGTTTCATATCTTTATAATCTGAATGAGGGGATAGAGTGCACCCTCAGTAAGTTTGCAGACAACACCAAGTTGGGCAGGACTGTTGAACTGCTTACAGCTCTGCAGATGGACCTGGACAGGCTGGATAGATGGGCTGAGGCCAATTTTGTGAGATTCAACAAGGCTGTGTCAAGTCCTGCACTTGAGTCACATCAACCCTACGCAATGTCACATGATTCTAGGAAATAAAAAGGTAATTTAAATAAATTTTCTCTCCCGTCATATTCTTACAGCTCAGATCCTTACCTCATGTCCCACTTTTCGCACCACTAACTTCTAGCAACTTCCTGCTTTACAATAAAGCATGTATTCTTCCCTGAGAAATCATTTCTTCACTATGCAGTCTTTGCTGTCTTCTGCTATGAGCAAGACTGACTGTTACCCACACTCTCCTAAGGACCCTTGAAATCTCTTCTGTTTCTGGGTCCATCCTTGCTGCCCTATTCATTTCATTCCATTGCTATCCTGAACTTCAGGTGTTTCTCCTATCTAAACATGCTTATTAGGGAAATTCTGTGTATGACAATGATTCCTCCCACCTTCCAGAGGATTCCTACCTGCCTAAAAAGGCAGCAATTAGGACTGTATAAAAACCAGTCTCTTCCCTACTGTCCTGCCATACATTTGCTAGAAAAATATACATTATGCATATGGTGAACTATGAACAAGATAAAACTTTCCACCAAAATAATGAAAATCCCCTGTCTTAAAACATATTAGTACACTCTGCATGTTATATTTGCTCAACAATAGATCGTAATTTCCCAATAACATATATAATACTCCAACCTCCAATAGTATACTGTAACAGGTACTTTACAAAGCTAAGATTGCCTTGCAACCTCAGTGAAATATTTACAGGTACAAATCTTGATTTTTTGTACAATTGCCGGCATACAAATAATAAATAATACTGGGAACTATGTACAATCATCCAGCTTAAAATACAAAAAATTTTGGATGCTCAGATGCTGCACATTCTATCATTACCATTTTCAAACAGATATCGTGACACATTTTATTTTTTGCACTGCATATATATTTTACTTGACAGTATGCAGCAACATTCAGGTATTTTCACTCTTGCTGAAAGATGTAAATAGCTCCCCTTCTTACAATATGATACCTTTGACAACCTAAATGATTAAGTAAAGCACAAACACTGGAGAATCAAGCCTACATAGTTCTAATTAAATCTTCCAAGTACACTGAAGTGTTCCAGGCTTTTGTTTTAAGCAATTGTCCCATTTTATTTTCACACTAGCATTGGCAGAGTTCTTTCATCTTCCCTCTCCTCTGTTTAACCACTTTCTTTATTTAGCACCTTTCTGAACAAAGTCTCCTTTATTTCAGCCTGGCAGGCGTGGGATGAGAACCTCCCATTCTGAGAAATACTTCTATGAGCAAAAAGGCACACCCACATACTTTCACCTCCATGCACACACAATTCAAGGTGACACAACATATGCGAACATTTTAGAAACTGGAAAAAAAAAATGCATCATTACATCTGAAAAAAATAGTCATCCCCTTCTTGCTGCTCATTCTGGCCACTGCCACCACTGCCTGCTCTGCCAGATGACATGGTCACGTCATCCTGCCTCCTGCACAGAAAGTTCCTACTTTCTGATGTTACAGCACTCACAGTAGGTGCATTTGCTTCTGCTTAGTAAATGAGTGCTCTGTGTTTGGTATCATCTCTGCATCTATTTTGCATGATGTTATATCATAATCTTTTGCAATTACTTTTTTTTTTTTTTTTTAGTGTGCTTTAGGGCCATGAGATAAGGATAAAAAATGTAAGTTTTCCTATTTAAAAAAAAAAAAAAAGTCTTGGAAAGAAAATCTCAGAAGTAAAGAGGTATAAAAGAGTGTAAACCATATTCCCAGAATTTAAAGGATCAAGTGACTAAAATAAAATCCTGCAGCAGGGAAATTGTTGAAATTCAGAAATTTCTTTTGGAGGGAAAAGAAATTAATGGTCTCATCTTTCCCAATGCCCTTGCCCCAACCTCATTTGCAAGTAAAACTCAATGTGCAGAATTTCACTCTGATGACACACAAATCTCATGCATTCCTCCTGGTTTAAAACCATATGCAAAGGAAACAATACTAATACCTCAACATCAGTTCTGCAACTTCAGAAAGGCAAACTTCAGCACAGCAAAATAAAACACATCAAAACACTCTTCTGGTTTTTCATGTTTCTGCATCTCTGTTGAGGCTTAAAGCTTAACACAAGTTTAGCACTACCAGAGCTGATTTTAGATTAAGAGAGTTGCATCAGCTGCTGCAGGCAAGTGCACATAGTGCCGAGCAACAAACACGGGTGCTCACACCCCACCCTCAGTCATCACGGCACACATTTTCCATGTCTTCCGAGGTACCACAGGTTCTGCTTATACTAATGGTGACAGAGCTATCTTCAAAGTAGCTACTCAACAGAACAATTCTGATGCTCTCCATCAGAAACAACTAATGATCTTAACAGATTTTTTCAAAACTAACATAGCTCTACAGCAGAGACAAATTCCCAGGTCCCACTTGGTTTGCTGAAGCTCTGCATAAAACTACAAACTTCTTCCTCAGTTTATTGCGACTGACAAAATTGCAGATTACAAAAAATATTTAAAATTTTATGAAGGTGAACCTTCTCCAGGGTTTTTCTTTTCATCAAAGAAATCAATTTTCAGTTGAGAAAGTACTTCAAGATTAACCATTTCACCCTACCTAACTAGACTAGATATGAAATTATATTTATCTCCCCATCTAGTACCTTCCAGCTGTAGAGAATGTATTTAGAGTAGTCCTGAGGAGAAGGACTTGGGGATGTTGGCTGATGAGAAGCTCAACATGAGCCAGCAATGTGTGGGCTTGCAGCCCAGAAAGCCAACCATAGCCATGGCTGCATCAAAAGAAGCCTGGCCAGCAGGTCAAGGGAGGCGATTCTCCTCCTCTGCTCCACTCTTGTGAGACCCTGCATGGAGTTCTGGATCCATGATCAGAGGGCTGGAGCACCTCTCCTATGAAGACAGGCTGAGAGAGCTGGGGTTGTTCGACCTGAAGAAGAGAAGGCTCCAGGGAGACATTATGGAGAAGTTCCAGTACTGAAAGGATGAAGAGAGAAAGAGTACAGTGCTACTAAGAGTGAGAAAATCATCCTCTGTTCAAGTATAAACCTTCCTTTACTTCAAGGAAGAAGAATTTGGTTGATGGGGAAGAAGTCACTTGATAAAAGCATATACTGTACTATTCCAGGATTCACCTGCAGGACAATCTTGAAGATATAAAAAGTCAAAATTTCAAATTTTCATCCTTTCCAAGAATTTCATCAGTTTAGGATGAAAGAAATCTACCAGCAATAAGAGTTCAATGAGGAAACAGAGAAGTGACACATAATACTGTGCTCAGCCTTCACTTATTGCTAATGATCTGTATTGTCTCTCAGTGAATGAAGAGAAATGATATACTGAGAAGCTACATACCAAAGCACATGTGCATGTGCACACATTTACATTAGTGTCTACCTGCTCATATGAGGCTTCTGGGTGTCGGACTTCAAGCAGAGCAGAAGAGATCAAATTTTAAGCCACATAGAAGAAAAAAGACAGGGGAGAGAAGAAGAGCAAGGGTGTGAAAAATCAAACTGGTTCCTAAGCACAACTGTTAAACCAATTTTTCTCAGGAGGGAAAGCCACAGGTGCCAAGGTAATGGACAGACTACACAGCCATGCTGCCCAGCCACAGAAGTGTTTTAACACTCAGGAGTACAGCATGAAGGTGCATTGTGGGAAACAGCTGCTCTGCATCTCAGATACTAGTTATAACTTTTAATGAATTGATTTCTGTACTGAAAATATACTAGAGAAGAAGAAAAATACAGTGTATTTCATAATGTCTGTTACGAAGCTTAGTACCAGGTAAGAAAACAGAATAAATCAATATATCATCAGTATATTTTACTGAATGTTTCCTTTCCATTTCTTTTTGTCCTTATTAAGTTATAAATTATATTCCTGTCTGACAGGCTAACTGAAAGAAAGGTTCATCATTAGAAATATAAGCCACAGAACAAGGTTCTACAGATGGGAAAATTTCAAACGTAAAATATTAATAATCTCTTAGTTATTTCCTTTAGAGTATTCGGAATTCTAACTATCTGAATCTGTTATTCTTGTTACCGTCTCTTTTTCACATACCTCTGTTTATTCCATAACCTATCACGTATTTCCCCAAATAAAACATTATTCAGTCTATCCTAGATAAACTAATACTATCTCCTTAATTTTTAATATTTTGAAGCTGTGACTGTGCACTATCCATTTTCCCCTGCGATTGCATCCTGTAATGATTTCCAAATTCCATTATCTCAAAGTTTCATCCATCACATTTACACTTTGAGAAATCAAAACCAACATTATAAAACTCTTGGATCTGGATTTAACTACTGGGTGCCACAGCAGATACAGTCCATACTAGATAGAATATTAAACTTTCGTTCCAGTGGTGGCTGCCAAGTCATAGAATTAGGGAATATTACCTAAAAAGATTAAGATAGCTTACAGAGGCAGGGGAATACTTACATAATTCTAAATAGATGGAGGGATGGATGGATAGATGGACAAATAGATGGACGGATAGATAGATAGATAGATAGATAGATAGATAGATAGATAGATGGATGGATAGATAGATGGATGGATAGATAGATAGATAGATAGATAGTTTAGATAGATAGATACTGTCCATGCTTGGACAGTATTTCAAGGTTCTTTCCAGGTCAACTACATCTGCTTCTGTTGTGTCTATGCTTCCTTTTCATGTTTAGGTTTAGTCAGGAGCTTCTTGTTCATCCATGTAGGCCTTCTGACACTTTTGCTTGATTTCCTGATTGTCTGGATGGACCACCGGAGGAGGTTTTCCTTGAAAATCTTTTCTCCACCACACCTGGGAGTCTTCTACAGGGATCTCTGAATGGGTCAAAGTCTGCACTTTGGAAGCCCAGGGCAGTGATCCTGCTTTTTTGCTTTTATCCCCTGCTCTTGGGATCATGAACTCTACTATGCAGCCAAGATGTCTCTATCTTCAAAATCCCAAAAAATTCTTCCTTCTCTGTAAGTCTGATGTTGAGCAGAGTGCCTCCTTCTCAGCTACCTAATCACCTGAGTGAAGTTATAATCAATAGACTCCAGAAACATCCCAGATTAATTTTGCCCTGCTGTGTTGCTCCTCTACAGATACCAGGCAGTTGAGCTCACACATGAGAACCACAAAATATGAAGCTTCTTTCAGTTACCTGATGAAGGCCTAACCTATATCAGGCCTGATTATCCTGATTAGGCAGTCAGTAGCAGACACACACCACAATTTCACCTATGTTGATTTGCCTGTTAATCCTGACCCTTGAGCTGTCAGTTGGCTCATAATCCTTCCTTACCATTCCAGCCTGTTCTTCTTGAAGAGCTTGTATCCAGCCATTGCAACACTCCAGATATATAAGCCATCCCACCGTGTCTCTATGAGCACAATGAGATCACAGAGTCACAAAATTATCTTGGTTGGAAAAAATGTTCAAGTTCACCAAGTCCAACCATCAACCTAACACTGACAAGTCCTTAGCTAAACCATATCCCTAAGCACTGTGTCTGTATGACTCTTAAAAACCTTGAGGGATGGACCTTAAAAACCTCTACCACTGCCCTGGGCAGCCTGTTCCAATGCCTGACAAATATTTTGGTGAAGAAATTCTTCCTAACATCCAGCCAAACCTCCCCTGGTGCAACCTGATGCCATTACCTGTTGTCCTATAACCTGTAACTTGAACAGCCTGATCCCCACCTCTTTACAACTTTCTTTCAGGTAGTTGTAGAGAACAATAAGTTCTCCCCTCAGACTTCTTTTCTCTAGGCTAAACAATGCCAGTTCCCTCAGCCACTTCTTGTAAGACATGCTCCAAACTTTAATCAGCTTCCTTGCCATTCTTTGGACACTCTCTACTACCTCAACATCCTTCTGTAGTGAGGGGTCCAAAACTGAACCCAGTACTTGAGGTGCTACCTCATCAGTGCCAAATATAGGGGTAAGATCACCTCCTTGGTCGTGAGGGCCACACTATTTGTGATGTAGGCTAGGATGCCATTGGCCCTCTTGGCCACCTGGGAACACTGGTGGCTCATGTTCAGCCATCTGTCGATCAACACACCTAGGTAATCCATCCAAGATAGTAGTCCTTCAACTGTGCACAGAACTCTTATTCTTTGTTTGTTGCTCATGCTGTGTTCACTGGTGTACGGATGCTTCGTACGGTCATCCAGTCATTGTTTGGAAGCTCTTATACCTTTTCTGGGAAATCAGGATGACTGGATGGATTTCCTTATTTGTGTGGACATATTCAGAATTGCCTTCCTTGTGCGCCAATTTGTTGGGTTTAAGGTGTTTCTTGTATAATCTAGTAATTTCAAACATTTGCTTGTCAACTCAGTCCATTTCCTCACTCACTTGCAGGTCACCATCTCACTTTCTTGTTAAAGCTCTCCTCACCATCCTCTTGGCAAGGATGCTTCTCCCCCACATGCTTATGTGGATCCTGCCTCTTCCTTGATCAACAGTTCTTGATCATCAAAAAGGGTCCATAGTGATAAAAAGTAACACCTTATTCACATCAGTCATGCAACTGGATCTTGACCCGCAGAATCTGGCCCCTCTTCCCAGGGCTTTTCCCTTTATCAGCAGAGCAGGATCAAGGAAATGTCGCCCAAGTAACCCATGTTCTTGATCACCACCTCCACCAATATATAGTCACACCTAATGTGCTCCAGGAGAAACCTGGAGCACATCAGACACATAAAGCACAGTCATACATTTTGGTGTATGTGCAATAAAGCTACAGGGCTTAGGGGTCTGAGAACTAGGCAAGCCTTGGCAGTCTCTCTGCAGCATTCTAGAGTCTACCTTGGCAAGCAGCAAACCTCCCCAGATAGCAATTTGGGTCAGCAGATGAACAGATATGAAGTGAGAGTCATCTTCAGATTAGCACACAACAGCAAGTCAGCTAATAGCTATAGTATCTAGCTAACATGCAATGCGTGCTCATCAAAACAATGCTCCTAGGGAACATACAAAAACTATCCTTCTGATTTTCTCTTACTTTAGTAGAAACACAGCGGTCCTCATGAGTACTGAATGTCACTTTTTTTTTCCTTAACAGAGCATATTCTGATGCAAAGAATATAAACAAGAGTACATAACAGCACTATTATTCTTAGTAACTAACTGAACATTCAAAACAGTGAGGAGTAAAAAGAAGAAAAGATGATAAAAAAATAAAAAAGTCCCCAGTGCTGTATGAAAGGATATGGATGCTCTGATTGCTAGCCAAACATAATAAAAAATGTTATCACATTTTCTGTTTCCAAAACACAATTTTTCTCAAGTATGTCAACAGAGAGTCATATACAAGACAAAGGCTGCATTATTTTGCTTCATTTAGCAATGATAAGGAAGACCTTAGACAGGACACAGTGTTTCATTCTATGTATCTCACTTTAATAAGGTTATATACAAACTGGAGAAAATTCTAATGAGAACAAGAATGTTGAAATTTAGAATAATGAGAGGGACGACTGAAAGCTGGCAATGTGAGAGCTTCCTCTTTTTTTCAAAGGAAGGAATGCAGTAACTGAACTCAGTATTAAACAAGATAGATCTATGTTAGATACAATGGAAAAAAAAATCTTCTAAGTGCTGGAATGACTACACAAGAGTATTATGTATGGATTTCCAACATGGGAGTCAGGGGTGATACAGATAGGCTCAAACCAGAGATGGATGGTATGAATTTGAAATGTCTCTTCCAGTCTGAGTTTTCCATAATTCTATAATTCCTTTTCATCTAAGCTTTTCCTTCAGAAAGGAAGAGGAGATGTCTGCTATATTCCCAACAGGGCTGGTGTGTTTTTTCCCCTAGCCTTTTATACTGAAGGGGCATCTAATCCTTAATTCATCACAGAAGATAAAATGTTAGAAAAGCAGCATTTAACAGGTCAATAATCACAGCAGAGGTGTGAAAAAGGCAGTTTCACTTGCCTACATCCTCTTGCTTTCTAATTAGGTGCTGACAACATGGTTGACACAGTGTAAGATACAGACAGTTCTTGCTCTGGGGACCTCAGAGTCTAAGAGCTGAAGAATGAAAATCCCTCAGGATTAGTTCTTGCTTCCATGTGCTTTAAAGGGCTGATAACTTTTCACTGTAGACCAATGAATCACATTCTAAATTGAGACAGAGATAAATAGAAAGCAAGCTATTTCAGGTGAATAGGGACTTGAAATATCACAGAAGAGATTGATCACTATATTTAAAATATGGGAGTACGTCGTGGTACATCTAGCATTTAAATACTCTATTATTTAATTTACATTACATCTCTTGAGCAATCCATTGTCACTAATTGACAGAAATACAAATTTACTAATGAATAGGAAAAAAAAATCCAACAATAACAGGAAAAAAAACCAATTACGCTACTGTACATAATTTACATTATGGGAATTTTTAAGTCAAGCTGGTACTATTTTACCACCTAACTGAAACAAAACTCCTGAGAAAATAAACATGTCTCAAAATATACAGATATTCATGTTAGAATTCAACAGTTTTGAAATGCAAATAAAAAAACAGAACAATAATATTCCAGGTAATTTTAATGGCATTTGCTCTTTGTGGAAATAAACACAGCTCTGCCATAAAGACCAGTTTTCATATAAACTGCTTATATATCACATAATTCTTCACTAATGAAGACTTTCAACTTTCTATTTATTTAGCAAAGACATAGTGTATAGGAGTATAACAACATCAGTCTGTGATCTGTCTAATTATGTTTATTATATTCTATATTTTAAGTTAAATTTACTTTGTAAATTTGTACATCGTGTATTTTATAACTGCTGATCCAGCTTTAGCTGACTGATCTGCATCACAAAACTCTTCACAAGTTGATTTTGCTTCCGAGACAGGTTTTACCTACACTCAATCATTTCTGGTGGAGATTTATATCAATATTCTGATAATACCTTTTGAAGGAAACTTAAAGCCCCTTACTCCAGGGATTGCTACATATTGTTGCAAGGCTACCTAGAAAACTAAGTATTAATAAGGCCAAATGGTTTGGGAGGATGTGTGAAGCACATGAAGCCAGTACTTCTCAAGGCAGGATGAATCAGAGGATAGTTTGTGGTTGCGTAGGAAGCATCAGTACAATGGCCTGGTAACGTGAAATGTATTGCACTGAACCGCAACTGACAGAGAAATGCCTCATACTTTCATAGGGACAAGACAGAAAAGGGCAAGATTATAATCACAGACAATGACAATACAAAGCTACCATCAAGCAGTAATGGTACATTGCATATCATCACGGATACAAAAGTGCAATAGGAGAACAATTTTAAGTACTATCTGTATAAGAAGCCTAAATTAAACCCACTAAGTTCAACAAAGTATTGGACCTGGAATATATTTTAAACATAATTAGTACTAATGTCTTTTGTCAGGTTGGGAACAAGACAGAAATACACTTCAGATTTGTAGAAGTCTGAAGATCTTGATGAACAGATGTTAATGGAAATCATATAATAATGTTTTTAACCAAATATGTGTCTATTAATGTTCTCTTAACCTTTCCTGTCGATATAGCCTCGTTATCCCCATGGAGTTAAGAATGGCTGAAAAAGAACAGACAAAACTAAGAACATAAAGGCAGATACGCTCTACAGGATGACAAGACCAGGTCTCATTTTCTGTTGAATAAATGATGAAGAGACCACAATAATTTCTTAAATTCTTTTGAGTATTTATATTTCAAAAAATCCTTTCAAAGATGAATAACTGTTGTACTGATGGATTTAACCAAAGAGAGGAGAACCAAAGGACTCAAGACACTTCTGGAAAAGGGTCAAGTAAACAGATGGTTCCATGTCTCAAGTTACTAAATGTAAGAAAAGTTCTGGACAAACCAGAAACAGACAAAGGATATAGAATAAAAAACCAAAGGATATATATTCCCATCCCTTTTTAGATTAAAGTCATCCAAGCATCTATTCTGAAGTGAGAGACTGGAATTCCTACTGTTTCTTTGCTAGTGTTAGGTACATGACTGGCAACTGGCAAGACAACACAGCCAAGGACTGTGTTTTGAGTGGCCACCTGGGGTGACAGCTATACATGCAGCTCCTCCACACCTGCCCAATGGACTGACCAAATACACTGCATTTTCTTTCATTTGAAAGTATAATTACAACATCTGCAGCTTTGAATGCTTTCTCTTCTGGCCAGCAAGTACATGAAATCACATCCTTTTTATTATGAACAACTCCTGTGTGATGTCTCCAACACTAATGTTTCTTCTATTAGTAGCAACTTCACCTTCTGCTCCTCACATTTTATACTGCACTCAAAAATCAGTCTAAACACTGTAGATAAGGAAGTACAGATATTTATAAATTGTTCCTGAAGGAAGGTGAAATAAAACTACTGACTATTCCTATGTAATTGTTACATCTTATAAAAAAATGTGCAATTAGTTTTCTCTAAAAGGATAAGTTTTGTTTGTTTACTGCAGGAGTAGTTGTCATTCATAAAATGAGGGAATATTAAGGGTAAAAAATCGCTTGAATTCAGTTCTGAAAGCTGTTGGATATATGTTACTGTTACAAGAAAAAAAGAAACAACAGATTTGCCCCGCTGGCAAATATCTTCCTGTGGGATAACTAGGCTATTCTTTGCCAATATATTCATGTGTAACTATGGCAGATAATTCTTTCAAGTTTTTGTAGTTATGGGGCAAAATTTCAACACCATATCTGTTGTAAAAATCTCCTGTATTTATATAACATGCTAATTTTCAAATAAAATATCCAGAGTATTATCACTTTTCTGTCAGTATTTTTCAGTAACTGCCAACACAGAAGCATGGATAACATTCTTCAGTTTGCAAGAGCACTTTCTCATCTATTTTACAGATGTCATAGGAAATCTTTAGCCAAAATTTAAGGGAAAAAGAACAAAATATGTCCTAACATTTTTATTACATATCCTGATGCAGCCACAGGACTAAACTGAGACCATATCTTGTAAAAAAATCAATTACTACAATAATTGCATACAACATTTTATATAAGTGGTGATTTATTACCACTTCTACAGTCTTCAGTCTGCCAGTGATGTAATGAGGCTAGCACACCAAGAAAAGGCCTCTGTAATGAGAGCTATAACCTCTTCCATCACTTGGGATCTCAGGTGCTCATGACAGCTCAGCCACTGCTTATCCAAGATTAATCTTTTTGTTGGTTTGTTGGGTCTTTTTGCTTTTTTTCTATGATTGAAAGAGAATTGCATTCACTTTCTCCAGACTTTGGTGGGCTGAGCTGCTGCTCTGCAACCAGAAACAAAGCCAGAAGCAGAGGCCTAAATAGAATTTATCTAGTATTATTTTGCTACTAGATACACTGCAAATCTGTTATGATCTTTTATTCACTTAATAGCATCTTTAATCATATATGAAGGATGTAACCACGGTGGACCTTTTTATCTTAAAGATACCTTTACTCTAAAGTGAAAGAAATAGGGACGTTGTCAAAATACTAATAAATAGAAGTATGTCTAATACTTTTCAAATAGTTGACTTTTTTCTTCTTTTTCTGGTTTTTTGTTTAAAAAAGCAAGTTATGATCCCCAAACCTTTTTAACTGCTTGAAGGTCTATTCCAACCTTGATGATTCTGTGATTCTGTGATTTTATATTGTGAAGGTCTTGCTAACACTTGAGGTGCTGGATCTAGTGATACTACTGTAACTGTTAGACACCACTTGAAATATGAAATATTTTATGATTTTATTCTATGATTCTACCATCATGAGTATAATGCCACAGTGCTGAATATTGTGTCCATTTAAAAGCAAATACAACTTTAGCTTAGCCAACCAATATTTGACACTAAAAACACAAATTGCAAAGACATCATGCAATTACCTAAATAAAAAAAACACCAAAGCAAAAAAACCCCAAACAAACCTAGTCACCTGGTCTAAATGTTTGTTGATTGACTGTTATAGACAGAAGAAACTGATTTTGTAGTGAGTTGCCTATTTCTCTGGGTACTGTAGGTAAATTCATGCTTTTAGAAAAGTAGCATCTATTAGGAATCAGTACATGCTAAATACAAACCAAATAAAACAATGTAATTGGGGGAAAAAAGGCTTTTATTATCTATAAAATTATCTTTCTATTATGTTGGTGATTTCTTCATTCCAGTGAATACCTGATTCCTTAAAAAACACTTCAGATTCCAAAACCTTAAGTATTAGTGTCTCTTAATCCTGTAGTAAAATAAATGGATACAGTGAAATTATGAAATTAATATTCAGCTT